TTGTACTCATGGAAAAATCACCTTGTTATGTACAGCTTATGAAATTTGCTTGTGAATTTCTTCATTCTTTGTTTGGTATTTACTCTTTTCTATGTTGCTAGAAATCATTATGTATGTTCGATGAGTAAAGATTACGATTACGATTAATGTTATCACGTTGTGCTATCGATGAACATACGGGTACGATCTGCATATTGTTGGGAACTGGAAAGTAATAATCAGAAGTACGTGGCTAACATGAAATTTGCCCACCACCTGCTCGTGGGATCACGGAGTTCTTTTTGGAACTCTTTCCGCTGCGAGCTCTTTTTTAACTAAAATGCTAAAATCATCGAGACCGTTTTTGCTATCAGTGTTGGTACCCCTTGCTAGTGATGTTACTGGGATGCTCCCATATGTCGAGCGCAGCTATGCCGGGGTCTTTTGATCCTGAGCTACGTTCCTTGATACTAAGAGAGTATCCACTGTTTATTCGATGAGTGTGCCATTTCGGGGTTGACCCAAGTGGTCACTTACTTTCACATGAGCATTACTCGTCAATGTGCTTCATCCACAAGCTGACACTTTCAATAAATTATAACAAGGGCGTCTAAAACATTTGATGATTGTTTGTTGGTGATTCATGAGGATGAGGACTGGAAATCGTGCAGTCGATCTTCAACTGCTACTTTCTTACCGAAGAATTTACTCATTCATTCACTGCGAAGAACAAACAAACCAAGGCGTCCGTTACTACCAACACTGTTCTTTTGAAACAAGGGTATCAAAAATTTTCCCCCGCTAACTTTACAAATTCCAAGATACGTTGCATTTTTCATGTCGAAACACATCGTTTAAAGAGCAAGTGGTGTAAATGCTTCAGGATCCAGTAAAAGGCGAGAAAAAAGATCTGTTGATTTTCAGTAGTGATTTTACTTTTTTGAAAGTCTGTATAATCCATTGCTTTCGAAGTTCTCGATTTTGCTGCATAAAATCGTTTTTTGTTTTTAATTGTTTTCCTTCATCGGTTTCATTTCAAATGTTTTACGAGGACCAGTGTTTCTAATTTTTATTAAATACTTCGCGAAATTTCTAAAATCTTACAAAATACAAGACAAATTTTCAGCATAACAGCATTCCTGAAACGACAAAATGCGCAGACAACATTAGGCACTGACACTATTTTCTGGTGAAGAAACAACGAAAAGAAGAACGAGCAGCATTACTTTTTTTGGCATCCGGTCGGTATCCCAAACGTCCGGTAAAAAATCTTTTTTCTGGTATTTCATGGCGTCAATCATTAGTGCGATGGCATTGGATCGATTATAGGTGAGAAAATCGTATAAGCTACCAGTGATGCCCGCTTCACTTTTCGCCCGCGTTACGGCCAGATCAATGGCTTTCTCGATTGCATGATGGGCTTCCTGCTCCTGCTCGCGAGCCCCTTTTCCGGCGAAATACAGTCGGATTATTTCATTCTCCCTCTCAGTTTTGGCGCCGCTGTTAAGCAGTCCTTTGGCTCGGATAATTTCCAGTGCCTGGCAGGCAGGTCCAGACACAATCACCGGCTCATCGTCATCCAGCATACCTTCAGTGCTGGCCACCACTTCTTTCTTGTTCTCAGAAGTCGCTTGGGATGGAACCTGTGCTGCGACTTTTCCTGGTACCATAAACTTAAATACTACAGCTGGCGATTCAGAAGACTCACTGGTGGCTGGCGAAGGTGTATTTGGTGTTACCTGCGTTTCCGGAACCACCTCCTTCTTGGCTGCTACTTTCTCTTTCTTGAATATCATCCCTTCCTTCTTGACTAGCGCCTCCTTCTTGACTGCCACCCCTTCCTTTTTGACCGACGGCTCCTTCTTTACTGGAGACTGCTTTTTCACCGGCACCACTCCTTTCACAGGCTCCTTTTCTTTCTTCGGGCGTATTACTTCCCTCGTTAGTTCCTTCTCCTTCTTTGGCTGCGCAACCTTCTTCGCCGGTCCCTCCTTTTTCTCACGCGTTGCTTCCTTTTTCGTTACCTCTTCTTTCTTGAGACCTACAGAGTC